GCCAGTCGCGGATTAATATATGTGTAAAACTTGAGCACTGTGGTAGCCACTTCTAATTGTATGTATCAATTCAACTGCGTTTGTGAAGCCAGTTATATTGGCCGTTGCTCTAGGAACTTGATTTTTCGTGCTCGCTCAAGAACATCGCCCAGCATAGCTAAGTAAAGGTGTAGTGAAAACTATTAACAGCTCGATATTGGAACATCTGGTGCAAACAGGCCACAAAGCCAGCGTAGATGAATCCTTCTCTATATTATACGGGTGCCAAATAAATTTCCAAAAATATCGAAGCACCACAGGCTCCAAACAGAGGCTATTGCGATTCGCCTCAAACAACCAGCACTCTATGTCCAAAAGAAGCAAGTCCATCCCATACTATTGCCCTGGCCTTCAATAGAAGCTATAAACTCATGAATTTGTGATATTATCCCTCCTAATTCTTCTGACATTCAGCTTATTTTATGTTGATGCTATTCAGCAGTAATCTATCAATATTATTGATTTGACGTTATTTAAACATTAATATCGTTCATAACACTAATTCATTCATTCACTATGATGTATATATAAATGTAGAGCCTGATGATAAATTTATCGAAAAGAGTACTCTTTGTTCAGTATCCATTCTTTTGAAAATTCCATATTAGTTTGTTTATTGGACGTATCACACAGTGAAACAGTATTATTTACTCGGAAGCCTTACGCAGAATTCTTAACAATGCTGACAGGAATAAAAGTGGCTGGAATTCAAACCCCCCACCCCCCACCCACCCACAAACTCAATTAGAAACAAGCTCTGTCGGCGAAATCGTGGATCCTGTGGACCCAATAACACAAGACAATTTAGCTTATCTAATACTCTGCCTACTGGAATGATTGTCAGGTCAGTCGAATACATCGGTCAAAGTAGTAGAACAGGGGCAGTCAGTCAGTCAGACTAGCTGAACATGAAAACCTAGCAGCAAAATCTAGATTGGTTGACCCAAATGAGATAAGAAATATAGAGAATAAATAGTTCAGCCATAGCATCACCTGCAGTCACATACAACCATACAATAGGATGGATGGGATAGGATGACCGTTTTAAAATTTAATGTCACAGGGTGGAGGGAGGGAGGGAGAGATTGATAACAGAAGCTTTGTTTATCGAATCGACTGAGAATGAACACATGTAATAGGAATCATTCAACACCTGTCCCGGACATCTTGAAAAGTCTACTGCCCCAACAACGACAAACAGGAGAGAAGAAAGAAAACTGTAAAACTCAAGTTTCGAAGTTGTTTGATTATAATTGATGATATGATTATGAACAATAATGAATTGTGTTCGAAACTTTGTCATCCAGTAAATAATAATACTGTTTCACAGACTGTGTGATACATCTGATAAACAAACTAATATGGAATTATTTACTACCACAGTGCCCAAGTTTTACACATATATTTATACCAAAAGTAGTACTGCTTAGAATAAAGCTATCATTACTACTAATATGCATGGTTCTTAATTGGTTCACTGCCTACCGCAGTACTATGTTGCTGATTCTATCTCGTCAACCGACCATCTTATCTTAAGTCTAGAGTGAAGACGACTATTAGTCAATGAAAATGTACAGTAGGCTGATGGAAAATGCTTTTGGTTAAGTAAGTCTTTGAATAATAATAATAATAATAACAGTGAGTTTATTTCAGATAGTATTGTCGATTCAGTTTGGAAATTTTACCATGTTATAGATTATTGAATTTAATGTTCCCTTGATAACGCATGGTGAGGGGAAATACAAAATATAACAACTATTACAGAGCCTAAATGGTGTTTACACTTATGAGTAAATAAACAAATAAAAACTAAAAATTGAGAGGATTATAAATATAAGAAGAACAATAACAATAAAGTTTATAAAGTTGAAGTAGAGGTTTGATTGCCATTTCATGCTTTGTTCTGTGATAATGATGCGTAGAGTTGTAATTTGGACAGAACATGATTTGCCTTTCCTGAATCCAGCTTGTTCTGGTCGGAGTTCTGTCTCCAGTGCGTCCTTTATTCTCTCCAGGATGATGCGACTCGGAATTTTACTCGGCATCAACAGGAGCATGATTCCTCGCCAGTTCTTGCAGAGTCCTAAGTCTCCCTTCTTTGTTAGTTCAACGAGGTAACCATTCCTCCAGTCAGTAGGCACCTTTCCCTCCTTCCAGACCTTTTTCCAATAAAGGAGTCGGCATATCTGGTCCAGCTGCTTTTCCAGCTTTCAGAAGCTTGATTGCGTTCAAGACTTCAACTCTCGTCGGAGGATTGGTGTCAACTTGCAGTTGTGTGCGCGCTGTTGTTGGTATTTCTGGACGGGTTGCAGGTGATGGTCGGTTCAAGAGTCCTTTGAAGTGATCCGCCCATTGTTTAATCTGTTTTTCTTCCTTGGTAATTGGGTTCCCTTGGCTGTCTTTTATAGGTTTCGCTTGTGTTGGTCTCTTCCCGGATAGAGATTTGGTTATCTGATATAGTGTCCTCAGGTCCCTTTTGCCTGCTGCCTTTCAGCTTCAGTGGCCAGGTTGTCGTAGAATCGTCTTTTGTCCTTCCTAGCACTCTTCTTCACTTCTTTGTCCAGTGCTTTGTAAGTTGAGCTCATCGTCTCCTTCTCCTGTCCGTCCTTGCATTGAATCATTTTCTCTTTCACCATTCTCCTCTCTTCTATTAATTTCCAAGTGTCCGTTGAGAGCCATTCCTTGTCTTGTCTCTTCTTTCTTCCTAGAACCGTTGAACACGTTTCGTTGAGAATCGCCTTCAGAGACTTCCAATGTTCTTCCACGCATGATTCTTCAGTGATGTCGCGTAGTGTTTCCTGCTTTGCTCTGACAGTTGCAGTGAAAGTGTCTTTTGTGGTTGTGTCCTTCAGTTATTGAGTGTTGAACTTGCATTGTGGCCTATCCCCAGCTATCCTCGAGGCTTTTAGTTTCACCTTGAAAGTCCCTTGTACTAGATAGTGGTCTGAACCCACATCTGCTCCTCTCCTTGACCTTGTGTCCAGTAGGCTCCGTCTCCACTTTCTTGAAATTGAGATGAAGTCTATTTGATTCTTGGTGTTTCCATCTGGTGAAATCCATGTCGTCTTGTGTATATCCTTGTGTTTGAACACACTACCACCAATCACCAAATCATTGAAGGCGCAGAAGTCTGAGAAGAGTTCACCATTGTCGTTCATTTCACCGAGGGCCTCACGACCCATGGTGAGTTCTCTTCCTGTGTTGTCTCCTCCCAGCTTCGCATTCATGTCGCCCATCAGGATTTTGATATCGCCATTTGGGACGTTGTCCATTATTGCTTGTAGTTGTCTGTAGAACGCCTCCTTCTTCTCTTGTTCTGAGACGTTTGTAGGCGCATAAAATTGAATGACTGTAACTTTCCTTCCTTTTGAGTTGAACCTGGCTGTCATTATCCTGGAGGAGATTGGTTCCCACTGCATGAGAGCTTTGGCTGCTGTTGGTGACATCATGATGGCCACTCCCTCGGTGTGCTCGTGATTGTCCTCTAGGTGGCCGGAATAGATTATTGTCTCTCCAGTAGGTAGTTGGCACCTTCCAGTTCCGTTCCATCTGCTTTCGCAGATTCCCAACACTTCTATTCTGTACCTTCTCATTTCAGCGGCTATCTGGGCAGCCTTTCCAGTTTCGTACATTGTACGAACATTCCAGGTACCCATCCTTACTTTTGCTTTCATCGAAAGAAGGCACATCGGCTGACTGGCTTCCCGAAGGCTTTCACCAGCCTGCGTCATTTCACTTCCCCGATTCCAGCGAAAAGTAAGGCTATTGCTTATGTTTTTAGAATTTTTAATATATTTATTCGTTGAAGTTTCTGTAGCGATTTGGTTAAGTTTTTGGGGTGGAGTTGCTAGCACCACGCCCCAACCCTCCCTCTTTATCCGGGCTTGGGACCGGTTAGAAAACTAGCGAATTAGTAATCTAGGCGAGGTTGAATTGTGAGTATAAGAAGAACAATAACAATAAAGCTTGGTGGACTAAAGATGGAGAAAATGGCTTTATCATTAGTGCAGAGAGGGTTAGGGTTAGTTCCTTCCTAGCACTACTTTTATCACATAAAATACTTGTCAAATATGGCATAGTGGAATTTTTATACTTAGACGTCCACACGTGGTCTTTTGAAATGACTTCTTGTTTTACCTAAGGAGATACAAGGTTGGAGCTGCGGTTAAGTAAAGTGGAGGCTCACAGTTTGAAAAAATTCTTTTAGCCAATTTTGTTGCATAAAATCAAGTACCTATCAATGATGATGTCAACAGTATGATCCAATGGGATACCACTCGCCCTACTGGCTGACAGACAGTCTTCAGATTTCTACGAAATATGACATAGTCTTTTTTAAGCAACCCAGGGGAAAAAATAAGGGTGAACAGTAAAGAAGAGGAATAGGTAAGATACAGGAGTTGACAAACTGTAAGAGAAGGAGGGGTTGAGTTATAACCTCAGTTCCCTAACTCCTTCATGTAAAAAGTCAGATGAAATATTCTTTCAGAAATCGCTAAGACATGGGAAGACATGGGATAGGTCAGAAGAAAGAATTAATCCAAGATACTCTATATCCACCAAGTCTGACGTTAAGTATCTTGGATTAATTCTTTCCTCTGATCTATCCTGGTCTTGCCATGTCTTAGCGATTGTCCCATACAAAATCAATGTCTCACACGATATTGGTGTTGACAATCTGAATTTTGTTCCTAATGCTGAATGAAGTAAGCTTCCAAACTGATTTCAGGGTTAATGAAGGTTAATGTACAATTCACCTTCAACGAGGATATCTAGAAACAGAAAGATGGAATTACCATGGGCTCTCTCCTTTGGCCTACTTTGGGCAGACTCCTCCTTTATGAACATTTGAAGATGGAATCTTAAAATCAATAATCGACGAATTACTGTTGTACAAGGACAAGGCTAAGGGCGCGGTTCACGTTTGAGGCTCCTGCAGCAGCTGGTTAGAATATCTGCCTATGTTTCGGCAGCATTCTTCAGTGTCACAGCCTTCACATTCGCCGTCAACTTCCCAGCCATACTTCTCTAGGATACTTTTGCCGAAAGAGTCTAGTAATGGTGCAGTTAATCATTCACGAAGAAGACATTCTGTTCTAAATGGTTCAAGTTCAAACTCATCTGAACGTTCAAAGCAGTCATACGTTTCGGCCTATTTTTCTAGTGATCAGGATACACGAAAAGGTTCACCAAGTTATATGCCAACTATCTTCAACTTTCAGCCTGTAAATGATTATCATTCTCCAGCACTTAGACGTCGCATTATTCGAGCTGAAAGCACAAAGACAAGTCTAATTGGAGCACCTGAGCCTCCGAATTCTAATGTCACTATTCAGCGTGGTTTACAGGTCTTTGGGTCAAAGAGGCGTCTTCGTGAACCTGTGACCGCTAACGCAGAAGAATCAACTCATGGTGGATTTGATTTTGCAAGTTCTAAACGTCGACGAACCTCTGGTACATTCGACATATCTACCCTAGGTTGTACAACCGATATTGATGGCTTTTCCTTCACATCACTGCGTCAATTAAAAAACGAAGTCGTCATCAGGAATGTTCATTCAGATGCTAGCATAGTCTCTCATGAAAACAGTGGTCAGAATAGTAAATGTGTCCAAACTCAAGAGGTTAATGAATGTGGAGATAAGAAACGGAAACAGGTATTCTTTTCACAGGGTATGTAGAGTCATCTGGGACTACCACTCGCGGGTCTGGTGCTGCTTTGAGGCGGAAGATTCCATACATGTCACCTTCTGAACTTGAGGCTCATTTGGTGTCTATCAACGCTGTAACACATTCGGAGCAAAATTCAGTCGATAACTCTTCGAACACAAGTGATGTTAGTCTTACAGAAGATGATACGCTGCCTGTTGTGTGTCCTTGTCGACCATTTTTTTGAAATATTCTGTAATGATAATTCCCAATTAAATTATTCATTACAAGAATTTAATAATTACCTTGCTTCAACTAAATTCACAATGGAATTAGCAAATGAATTAAAGATTCTATTTCTGGACATCAAATTGACAAGAAGAGTTAATGGAACAACTCTGAAAAGATCTATCTACAGAAAACCATCATTGAATGGCCAAATGACAAGCTTCTACAGTTGGATACCTGTCAGTCGACAAAGAGATCTCCATTATTGTTTCTCAAAAAGGTCCTGGCTCAAAATGAATACTCGGCATGTTTTGTGGAGAATAATATAAAATCAAGGCCAAAAAGAGAAGAATCCACTTCAGTACCAAAGAAAACACTCTATATGAGTTTGGACTTCAGGGGGATCATAGCAACCAATATTCTTAAGAGGAGAACTTTTCGTTCCCTAAAATAGACCTTCCCTGTACGACTCTAATAGTGATATCCCCTAGCTGCCTACTGCTTCTAAGCAACATGAAGGACAAACTTCCACATATGTCCACTATAATACGCACATAGCAGTTAATCCGCTCTTGCGGAGCTAGGCACACAGGTAGAGAACACGACTCAGTATCGTTTCAAAGATGAGGTAGTGGTTCAATCTGAAGAGGCATAATTTAACACCTCGTCAGTACACCTATCACAGCATCTCAGGTGACTCATCATTCAGAGTCACTTTTAAGATAGACAAAAATCTACCAAAGACAGTGTGTTTTTTCGACTTCTTTGTACTTCAGAAGCCCATGTCATCTACATCGAAAAGCCGAAGCTAAGTCTTCAAAAAGAGCACTAGTCCGACGTCTACACTTACCATGAATCTAATTCGGTTTGACTCTTCAGTTTTCACCTTTTTTTCATTCCCCCGTTCTTTTTTATTCCAGTTATATAAATACCACGTGTCAGGTGATCCGCAGCGGAAAACTTAGCGAGGCATTCGAAGTGCATACAGAAGTAAGACAAGGCTGGCTGGCTGGCTGCCTGCCTGTTACCACTAATGATATTCCTAATTGTGGTGGACTGCATTGTGCGTCAGTCATTGTGTAGGGGAGTGAGGAGATAGAAACACGTTGACCCACCGATAAGTTGACTCTAGAAGATTTGGATTTCGTGTGTGGATGATTTATGTTGTCTAGTGTCACACTAACTCGAAAACTTACAAGTGAAAACCAACAAACTGGCAGAAGATACTGGCAGTCAGCGAAGACAGGACTTAAGGTCAGCTATAAAGCAGACGGAGATGATGATGAGGATAACTAACCAACAGCGACAACAACAACTAGAACCAATCACCCACCGTCAACGAGAGTCTGTTTGTCTGGATTCAACATAGAACTTGGCACCGAAGTGCAGCAGTTCGAGTTGCCACCTTCCAAATAGCACACAGAGGTAGACAAGAAGATGAGTGAAGAGAATCAATACAGTCTGACAAGTGTAAGAGTGAAACAGAATGGGTAATGGTAGAAAGGAATATGAAAGATTACAGAGACTGAATACACCTGCGCTGGCCATTGACAACGATTTTGAGCCATGTCACCTATTGTCTCCAGCCATTGATTCCTAGAGTCCCGAGGGCCCCAACCCGGAAGTCTGCATCTCCCTACCTGACTCAGTTTAACTGTCAAGGATTTCATGGATTGATGAGGCCATGTTTTTGTTTGGCCACCACTGGGCTTTTTTCCAAGCTGCACCTATATCAGCTAGTAATGCCCGTTGGGGAAGGCGATGGTTAGGCATGCGCACCACGTGACCTAGCCATCTTAGTCTATGTAACTTTATGGCCTCTTCGATTGATTTTCGCTCTTTGCCCAACACTCTACGCCTAACGTCAACATTACTTACCTTATTAAACCACCTAACGTGAGACAGAGATCGTAGACATCTATGATCGAAAGCAGTCAACCTTTTCATGTCTTCAACGCGTATTGGCCATGTTTCAGAGCCATAGACAAGGACGGAGCGAACTGATGAGCAGTACACACGTCCCTTGGTTGATAGCCAGCCGGATGTCACGCCTACGCCAGAGATGGTGTAAGTCAGCGAAAGCAGCTCGAGCTTTTCGGATCCGTGCTGAGATTTCATCGCCAATCAGTCCGTTGGTGCTAATACAACTTCCCAAATAGGTGAAGTGCTCAACATGTTCTATCACTTCACTCCCTATCATTAAGTTAGGGGTTGACGGGGTCCAGTCCTGTAGCAGCATCTTACATTTTGCAGGGGCGAATCGCATGCCAAACATACAAAGATTGCCAGCTCAAGGTGTTCAGAAGACTCTGCTGGATTTTGTCAGCATCCTCCCCTAACAGGACTATGTCATCTGCATATTCTAAGTCCATAAGACTATTCCCTGGTAACAAGTCGATTCCTAAGTCGTTTCGTTCAGTTAAGGATACTTCCATCAGCATATCTATGATGAAGTTAAACAGAAATGGGGAAAGTGGACACCACTGGTTGTTACCAATTCAGATGACAATTCCCCATAAGCCCTTACACGACTACGTGAGTGATGTGACAGAGGTTACTTCCTTGACTTATCTGGGAAGCATCACATCAACCACAGGCAGTGGGACATCATGGATGAAGATGTCAAAGTCAGACAGAATCGGAAATGCAAGATACGCATGCCTTCATCAACCTGAAACCCGTTTGGAACTCTTCTGCCGTAACTCAGAATAGAGAACAAGATTCGGATTGTATTGAACACCAATATGATGTCGGTCACTCCTTCTATGCAGGTCATAAACTTGGCGTGAGCATCAGCAAATGGTCTGAGTCTAACGGTCTTAAACTGAATCCTTCTAAAGGTCAAACTGTTAATTTCAGCTTAAGATGTAAAAGACAGTAAACAGAAGTCATCGATTCTCATGACAGTTGTAAAATTGACGACAACGATATAGGAATCAAATCGCAAATTAAGTATCTTGGACTCACTTCCTCTTCTAATCTCTCCTGGTCTTCCCATGTCTTAACAATCTCCAGTAAAATATTCCGCCTGACATTTTACATTAAGAAGTTAAGACACTCGGGTATAACTCAACCTCTCATCCTACAGTTCGTAAACTCTTGCATCCTACCTATTCTTCTTTATTGCTCACCCTTATTCTTTCCTGGTTTCCTTAAAAACGACTATGTGACAATTCGTAGAATACTGAAGACTGTCAGTAGGATGAGTGGTGTCCCAGTGGACCACATAGTTAACGTTGTTATCGATAGGCACTTGACTTCATGCAATAAATTTGCTGAAGGGATTTTGTCTGACTTGGAGCATCCACTTTACCCTCAGCTTTCACCTTGCATCTCAGGTAGAACAAGAAGTAACTTCAGAAAATTGTATGCTCGCATGTCTAAGTATAAGGATTCTATGATACCATACTTGGCACGTATTTTATGTGATAGTGAAAATAGTGTCAGTCAAGAAAGAATTAACTAACCTTTTTTCATCTAGTAAATAAACAATTTCCTCCATCCATCCATCCTTATATACCTTCAAGTTTTACTTTTATTACTTCTATTATATTTATGGTCCTGTTAATTCTCTGTTTTACTCTCATAATTGCAAACACCAACTTATCTCCATTGATAGGATCCCACATATTTTGGTATTGACTGTTTAATTTTGTATATATGGTATATTATCATTCTCACACATTTTGGTAGTGACTGCTAATTTTGTATATATGGTATATGATCATTCTCACACATTTTGGTAGTGACTGTTAATCTTGCATATATGGTATATTATCATTCTCACACATTTTGTTATTGACTGTCAATGTCGCACATATGGCATATTATCATTTCTCACACACTTTGTTATTGGCTATTAAGGTCAATTATTTCAAATGCTGTTAGCTGTCCATATTGTTGTAAAATGTATAAATACCATGGCTTTCTTTGTCGTTGTTGCACTTCAATACACAGTCACAGTCCAGCCTTTGTCTTTTGATATTTGCGTGCTTTACTAAATCGGAAGGTACGACAAGCAGATAGGCAGATTAGTTCAGGCGCAGACAGAGCAAGGTGAAAACGTCTTCATTCAATTTCCCTACCGTTATAACACCATGACGGCTGTAATCTATGTTTTTGCCTTCACCATATCATGTAGAAAGAACATTATATTCAATATTTTTAAACATGCTAGGATTTCTATACCACATCGACAATTACAGCGTGGAACAAGCCCACGTCAATTTTCACTTGTATTATTATTATTATTACCTTAGCTGTTATCATTATTATTGTTACTCTCATTTTATATGCTGCATGTTTTTGACACTACCTCTATTGTAAATGTGGAAAATTTTCTGTGATTAATTTTATTTATAATTTGAGGAAATTAGATGCAGTAATATTGTGATTAATGCTGAAAATTCCATTCTGTATCACAAGTACTGTTTTTTTTTTGGAATAAAGTAAATCATTATTATTATTATCATGAAAAGGATTTCCAACAGGTTTCAGACTTTCATCAACAGTTACCTTCGCCTCATACTAAAGATCAAACGGCCAGAAATAATTAGGAACAAGAAACACTGTGGGAACCAACCAACCAAAAGATGATTGCTCGACAAATATGTAGGGGGGAAAAAAAGATGGATTGATATGGCATACATTGAGGAGGCCACTGAATGACATCGCACGCCAGCCCCTCGATTGGAATACAAGCAGGAAACGACTAGACAGTCATTAGTACGACGGTGATATAGTGGAGATCGTGTGATGATGTGGAGGAGATGAGATGGCCAATCGCGGACCCAGTTGAAGAGGA